GAAAAAAGCCGGAAGTGGCGCTGTGGCTCAAGTGGTAGAGCACTAGCCTTGAGCTGAAGAGCTAAGGAACAGTGCCCAGGCCCAGAGTTCAGGCCCCACGACCGGACCCAAAAAAAAAGATATCCCTGTGTTCCTTGCCAGTCATTGCCAGAATACACACCCCACAAAGATAATGTAGTTATCTCCCTTCTTCTGTTTTTGTTTTTTAGGTAGGATCTCACTATATATAGCCTAGGGTTCACACTTAAGATCCTTCTGCCTACCTCTCCTAAGTGCTGGGATTATAAGCATGCAGCACCACACATGGCTAACCAGCCTCTTTTTAAAATGACTTTTTCTGTGAGGAAGTGTTCTTTTTCAAACAGCTACTAACATTGTATTTTATGGAACACAACTTATTTATGAGTGATGGTGTTGTATTTGCATTAAACTCTATCACTTAGCCCACTTGAAAATTTCACCTTTAAAATCTGCTAGGTTCATAAATAGGATAAGTAAGCTGTAAAACTAATAGAAGCTCATCTAGAAAAGACAAAGCTTGAATTACAAAAAAAATTAGAACAATCTGTTCTGCTTATGTATTAAGCAATATGATGGTTTTACTTTATATTCAGAGATGTTATTTAGATGTAAATATTTTTCCATAAGCTTTTGCATGTACTTTTCCCCTTTAAGGAAGTTTAGAAGGTAGAGAGACTATCACTCATGGAATCTATCATTAGTCTGATTTAATTCTTGTTGTCTGTTAGGCCCAGGTCTAGTGCATTAGAAACCTGTTTACATTCACGCCCACTTTTTAAGTGTCATGACTAATGTTATTGTGGTCATAATGAAACAAAGGAACTGATAAGTACAGGTGGAATACCCCTAACCTGAACATCTGGACTACAAGATGCTGCAAAATTCAAATTTTTTAAGCACCGACATAATTCCACAAGTGGAAAAATTACATACTAGATCTCATGTGAAAAGTCACAAAGCACAGGAGTAATGAAATGTAAAATATTACCTTACAGCTATGGGTATAAAGTGCTTAAATCAATTTTATGTTTAGACTTTAGTCCCATTCCAGGATAACTTTTTGTAGATGCTAATGTTCTACAACCCAAATAATCTCAAATGTGAAACCTGTTTGGTCCCAAGCATTTTGAATATGAATCACCCAACCTATATTCCTAAGAATAAATAATTAGCCCGGCACTGGTGGCTCACACCTATAATCCTAGCTACTCACTCAGGAGACTGAAATCTGAGGGTTGTAGTTTGAAGCTAGCTGAGGCAGGAAAGTCCACAAGACTTTTGTCTCTAATTAACCACAAGAAAACCAGAAGTGGAGCTGTAGCTCAAAGTGGTAGAGAACTAGCCTTGAGCAAAAAGCTCAGGGACAGCACCTAGGCCCTGAGTTCAATCGCCATGACCGACCAAAAAAAAAAAAAAAGAATACATAATAAAGAAAAGAGGGCTCTTTGTCTCTCCTGTTAATGCTTTGAACTGGCTCTGTATAAAAACTGGTTGATAACATATAGAAGATTATATGAAGGACTTAAAAAAGCTTGTTTTCTATATTAGTCTTCCTATATACTCAGAAATATATACACACTTGCACATACATCAACACAAGAAGTTATTTTGTCTCGTTTATCCATAATAATCAAATTAGGAGAAAAACAATTCAGGTCTACCAGCAGAAGAACACTACATGACAAAGTTGGTAGTTCTTGAGGATTACACTGCTTCTTAAAGGCTAGTCATCTTCCCTCCATTAGCAGTGGCTAAAACATATCTTAATTTACAGACTAATGAACTGCATTTCAGGAGATTCTGTTTATCTTTTCAGCAGGTGACTTTAGCAATTTCACTACTTACTGATCTGATATTTAAAATCCCAGATAATAGTTAAGGAATGAAGAAGGGAAGGAGGGGAAGACACAGGATTTGTTGTCAAACTGAATCAGAGTTTCTCTTATAACAAAGGCTGCAGTGTGCTAAAAGCCATAATCTATAGGATAAACCAGTAATACAATTAAACTTCAAACTTTTATGTATAGTAGTTACAACAGATAGAGCCATACAATTCATAGAGAAATAGATCAAATTCCACGTGTAACTTCTTTGTTATCAATACATTAATGACACCATTTTCTGCTAAGATTGTTTTTCCTGATCATGCATTTTCTTTAATATAGTCCAGCAAAATTAAAAAGGGAAGCAAAGGCGACTGTACTGTCCTGAAGCCCACTCTTATGGCTGCTGTTCCGGTGAGTGCAGAATATGAATATAAACCAGAAGATAGTTGGTTATAGAATTTCTTAAATGAATTTTTACTTTGTTGAAAGATTAACTCATATATATACATATGTATGTACATTGTATTTTTTATAAACGTGTTTTTATTGTGAAAATACTGTACAGAGGGGTTACAATTACATGGGCAAGATAATGAGTACATTTCTTATCAAGCATTGTACCCTCCTCCTTTGTTTCCCCTTCCCATCCCTTTGCATCCTACCCCTGTCTCCCCCACCAAAGTTGTAAAGTTCGTTTTTCGACATAACAACTTGTACATCTCATTGTTGAAATGGGTCCTCCTGTATCCCTGTTTTAACGATTTGTTTTTTTCCCTTCCCTTCCACTTATGCCAACATAATATATAGTGACAGCAGGGGTTATACCATGGGGGAGGGACATACAAAGCAACAAAGACATAATCTTATAAATATGTTAGAACCAATCATGAAAGATCTCTCTTTTTTTTGTCAGTCTTGGGGCTTGAGCTCTAGGCCTGGGATCTGTCCCCGAGCAATTCAGCTCAAGGCTCATGCTCTACCACTTGAACCATAGCACCACTTCTAGTTTTCTGGTGGTATTTTTTTTTATTATTGTGATTAAGTGATTACATAATTTCCAAAATTTCACAGTATTGTGGGATAGTGGTGCTCATTTAAAGTCACAAGCTCATTCTAACTTTCCTGGAGGAAATTGTCTATCACAGTCTATAACATATAATGGCATACACATATACACCATACATGTGATCAGTAGCATGGCGTTATTTATTTATTTATTTATTTATTTTTTAATTTTTATTGTGAACATACTGTACAGAGGGGCATTTAGTAATTGGTTTGTTAGGTTTAGGAGGGATTAGTTTCTTGAGTTACCTATATATACTGGATGTACATTGTATTTCATTGAAATAGTGGCAGATATATTCCTTAAAAGCTTAAGATATGATTCTACCACCAAAGCTATATTGCTTTGGGCAAATTTCTTTCTTTGTAAGATAGGATAACATTTTAGAAGAATATATCTGTTTGTTTGAAAGAATTTATTTTTTTCTTTAAAAAGTCTTTCTCTGTGAACAGTAAATTAATTCTGAAGATTTAACATTTCTTTAAAATTTAGATGAACTTAGTACATGGAACTGAAGCAATTCGAATAATTGTCTTTACTTGGTTTTAAATAATAGTAGTATTTTAGATTGAGATATAATTGTATATATTTATGCGATACAGTGCATTATTTCAATTTACATATTATCTTTACTCTTTCTAAGAAAATGAATATATTTATTATTCTGAAGCCTAAGCTGTTATAATAATGTATAGTCAATAATAGAATGTCTCATTGCTTGGTATGAGTCCTTTTAGATTATTGAATATCTGTCTTACCTTTTAGGAAATCATGGATAGAATTTATAAGAATGTTATGAGCAAAGTTCAAGAGATGAATTATATCCAGAAAACATTGTTCAAGATAGGGTATGATTACAAATTGGAACAGATCAAAAAAGGATATGACGCACCCCTTTGCAATCTGTAAGTACATTTCATAGCCCTTACAGTTTAGTTTTTATATGTACGTATGTATGCATTCATTCATTTTTTAAATTTTTTATTATCTTGAAATAATTGTACAAAGGGTTCCAATTTATGTTGGCTTATGAGTACAATTGATACTGATCAGTATCACCACTGCCTTTATTCTGCATCCATCTATCCTGACCCTACCCATCCCCTCAAGTTTTGTAGTTCCATTTTCACATACATACATTGAATATGACTGTATTCTCTCATTCTTCCTCTCTTCCATTTGCCCGCCTTCTTCCACTTCAGACATGTTTCAACTTCCTAGGATTTTATTTAGAATAAAAGAGAAATGCTTTAAATATATCTTGAATGTGGCATTTTATCAAATTTAATAATGAAATTAATACTTTTAAAATAAAGTTGGGTCTCATAAAAAACACTAGAATAGACCTTTGAATAAATGCTTGTAAGTTTAAAAGATAACCATTTAAGGTAAAAATAAGTGATCCATAAAGTTTTTCTGCATGAAAGATTCAGATTTATTGTATTCGTAAAATAGTATGTGATAATTTCATTTATTTTAAATGTGGTGCTCTGGTGGGAAGTTAGAGATGTGGAAGAATTATAGGGATAAAGTAGGTAGCTAAATCTTCCAAAGATAACTTTTGTTTGTTTAATTTGGCATCATTTTCTTCCATTTACATTCCCAAAGCTTCCCCAAACTACACACATACTATTGGGGGGTGTTCTTTAAGTGGGGGAGGGAAAAAGTATTTTTCTGGCAGATTTGAACAATTGCTTAGTTAATCTCTTGTGTGTTCAACCAAAGTTGAACAATATATGCCAGAATTTGTGTTAGCGATGTGCCAAGGATAATATGTATATATGAGAGTCACTTATTTCCTCTTTCTTAAGGTTGTTGTTTAAAAAGGTGAAAGCTCTTTTGGGAGGGAACGTGCGGATGATGCTGTCTGGAGGGGCCCCGCTGTCTCCTCAGACACACCGATTCATGAATGTCTGCTTCTGCTGCCCAATTGGCCAGGGCTATGGCCTCACAGAATCATGTGGAGCTGGGACAGTGACGGAAGGTAAGCCTTGTTGAGGTGATCAAATAATTCTATATTACTCACTATTCAGATTGCCTTTGGAAATGATGGTTATTATTGTCTCTTTGTAACATCTGATTCAGTATAAACTTACTAGTTTTAGTTTTATGAATGCTTAGAGAAAAACTATTTATAGGGTTTCATGTGAATTTTTCATTTGAAACCTTACAAATATTTGTGCTACATTGTCCTCAAAATTCTGTAACCCTAATCCTTTTATCCTTCTCTCGGTAATGACAGTAGAGAATGCATTCTTAAAGTATCACTTTATTTCCCCTCTATGATATGCTGATGTCTTTGTTTTCTGGACCATCGGTTTTAACAACATAAGGCAGAGTCTCTCAACTTTGACACTGTTCACCTTTGGAACTACATAATTCTTTCCATGATTCTTTCCTGTTGTGCTCTCTTTTGTTCATTGAAGCATATTCAGCAGGCAGAGACAAGTAGTAACTGGCTCCTGCAGGTGTGACAATGAAGCATATTTCTGCACATTACCACATATGCTCTGGGGGACAAAAATACTCTTGGTTAAGAAACACTAGGGTGAAGGATGTTTTGATTATATCACTATCACATTAAATTCATTGTGTACAAAATCAGTACCTCATTTCATACTGTCTTCTCATTGCCAAGTTTTGTGTTCATCAATGTTATCACCATTTTCATCATCATTCAAGGTCTCACTTTTGAGGTAGTGTGCATATTTACTTTTAACTTTCATCTAGTCATTCCATTGCTTCATTAGGTTTTTCCTTCCTTCCTTGCCAAGTTTGCCATCCCATCCTTTATTACTTCAGCTGCTCTGAGGTTCAGCCTTTTAGAGGCTGTGTCCTGCATCATACCAATCTATCCATCTCCTTCTGTTGTTACACACTTATACCACTGTTTGTTACATGGTATATCAAATATAACACATCCTTACCTAGCTTTGAAGTCATCTTTAGTTTGGCACAATTGAATCTACTCATCTTTATTTTCCACATACTTACACAGCTGCCTTTTCTCTGTAAGAAAGCCAGTTATCTGTCTCTTTCTCATACAGGGCTTTTTTATCTCACTTTTCTGTAGTTTCTATTCTCTTCTCTTGGAATGCTGTTTTTGTTAACTGGTCATAGCCATTTTTAGTGCTTAACCCTTCCATAAAGTCTTGCCCAATTATGTCATTTCGCATTGATCTTTCTTTTTTTTTTTTTTTT